CCAACACCAGCAGCTGGTTCTGCCTCTTCAGATGCTGAATCAGCTCAGAGAAAAGAAATAATTTATTCTGTCAGACAGAAAAACTCATCTGTTGAGAAATGTCAAAATGAAATGGATAGCCTTAACATTTATTTTCCAAACTAAACATTTTCAGCCTTATATATTCAACTAGCCAACAAAATAATTATGCTGCTAGATAAACGTTGAGCTAGCTGCTAGATAAACGTTGAGCTAGCTGCTACATAAACATTGAGCTAGCTGCTAGATAAATGTTGAGCTAGCTGCTACATAAACATTGAGCTAGCTGCTAGATAAACGTTGAGCTAGCTGCTACATAAACATTGAGCTAGCTGCTAGATAAACGTTGAGCTAGCTGCTTGATAAACGTTGAGCTAGCTGCTAGCTAAACGTTGAGCTAGCTGCTACATAAACGTTGAGCTAGCTGCTAGATAAACGTTGAGCTAGCTGCTAGATAAACGTTGAGCTAGCTGCTAGATAAACGTTGAGCTAGCTGCTAGATAAACGTTGAGCTAGCTGCTAGATAAACGTTGAGCTAGCTGCTAGATAAACGTTGAGCTAGCTGCTAGATAAATATTGAGAACTTTATTTCAGACCAAAATTGTTCAGATTTGTTCTCCTAGTATTTTGGAAAGTCCAAAGATAATTTGCCCCACTTTCCCTCTGATAAATGTGATTTTATTTCCTTGGAGTTTGTTGTGACGTGAAGCCGGAGGAAGAACTGAATGCTAACTGGAGCCCAGTATGACGTCACGTTGCCTCAGGTCACCACACCTGTAGTGAGCCTCCCTGCAGGTCACCGGGTCACGTGACCGCAGGAAGTGACTGAAGTGCAGGTGTTTGCGTGGGAAGCAGCAGCTGCTGAGGTCACAGTGACATCATCTTCTTCATCTCATAAAGGTGCAGCAGGGATCCATCCTGTTTATTACGGTCTTATTGGAGTTTGAGACTTAATGAGTTTCATCTGTGGAGCCGCCCACGCTGCCGCTTTAACTCATCACCGTGGATCGTCTCTCCCACTGAACCCACTGAAACTCAGGCAGCAAGTCTCTTTCTGCTGCTGCTCAGGAAGCTGAGGAGGAGAAGCTGCCGCCATCTTTCCAGGTTTTCCCTGAAAATGAGACTGCGGGTTTCAAACCGGCAACCTGTTCAGTCTGTTAGCATCAGAGCAGCTGACAGAACCACTAAGCTGGGTCTGACACGATGAATTGATTATTGGACCAATATCAACTCGTTTATAGATCGATTGTCTGGCAATCATTTTGAGTTTAATGAATAATTGATTAGTTAGCAATATTTCAATAATTGATTAATCACAATTAATCGTTTCAGAGACACTAATTACTTGTCTTTGGACCCACAGCCCAAGAAGAACACGGTTCTGGTTCTGTTTGGGTCGGTGAGGAGCCGCCGGGCTCCAGGGAGAGCAGATTAACGGAGCTCAGGTCCATCACTAAGCTGCTGTGAAGGAGAAACTTCTAAAGTTCTGATCCGGTCCGGTCCGCTCGGCGGCCCAAAGCGGCTTTAGGAGCTAATCTGAGCTTCATGGAGGAGAAACGGAATGAAGGAGATGAAGGCTCGGAGTTCCTCAGGGATCCTGCTGCGGCCCGGTCCGTTCCCCTCATTATTCTCGCCTTTGTCTTCAGAACCTCATTCAGAACCGGATTCAGAACCTCTGCCTGCTAATCCTCCACCAGACGCTTCAGGATGACTTCAGATTAAACTGAGCGACCCGGCAGAACCTCCAGAACCAGCCAGCACCGCAGAGACCCTGCTACCCGCTTCACCTCTGACCCCTGAGCGCCGCTGCTGCTGGAGCTGCTTTCGCAGAGACACGCTGCCATCCAGTGGCTGCTGGAGGCACTGCAGCCGTTCAGATTGATTTCAGTTTATAATCCGCTCCAGCTCGTTGCCGTGGTGACTGAAATCCTTCCTGCAACCATTCATCTGAGCAGAACTAAAGGAAAAGTTTCCTGGATTATCAAGATCAGCTGCACTGTAAAAACACGTCGCAGCGAGTAAGAGCAGAGAAACTGCAGCGTTTCAGTGGGATGTTGGAGCTCCAGGCAATAATTCCTCAAAACTGAAGAGAATGACTCATTTCAAGATCTTTCCAATTCTGATGTGAAATAATCTGCAAGTGAATATTTCTCATATTTATAGAGCCATGTTTTATTTTTGTTTTCAAGTTTTAAAGTGAATATGGATGTTTCCTTCTGTGGGACGAAGAATGGATCTAAATATCAAGTTTTTTTCCTGTAATTCTGTCCTAGAAAATCAATTTGCTTCCAGAAAATTGCTTAAAAAGTCATGTTATTAAAACTGTTGTTTATTACGTGAAAGTTTTACAGTGTTTTTCAGGTTGGAGCTGATCCCGTCCTGAACTCTACATGAAAAATCAAACAGCTGAAACAACTTCATTTAATTTGTCAGATTATCCAAAAATATTGAGGCGTCGCGCAAAACAAAGGAACATCAAGTAAATAGAGTTGGTTCATGTTTTTCTGTTTTCAGTGTAGATCCTTCAGTGGATCCGTTCTAGTGAAGAATCGACAGGTTCGGTTCAGAACCCGGTCGGGTCTCTGAGCTTCAATCCTTCCAGTCGAGCTGCAGCGTCTCGGCGACGAAGGCGAAGACGTGCGTTTCCTCCAGGATGGCCTTGGCGGTGGGCTTCCCGGCGCCGTGTCCGCTGCGGGTGTCGACGCGCAGCAGGAGCGGCTGGCGCTGCTGCGGGCTGCGGCCCACGCCACGCTGCAGCGCCGCGCAGAACTTCAGCGTGTGCAGCGGAACCACGCGGTCGTCGTGGTCCGCCGTCAGCAGCAGGACGGCTGGGTACGGCGGGCCGGAGTACGGCGCCTCCGGCAGGTTGTGGAGGGGAGAGTACCTGCAGACAGGACAGGGTCCAGACCCGTTCTGCTGGTTCTGATGCAGACTGGGCTGCTCAGACCAGCTGGGAGGTTCTAAACTGAAGGTCAGAGGGCCAAATACGGCCCACCGTAACTTCCTGTCTCTCCAGATTTCCACCAAAATTCACAAAAAATAAATCAAGATTTCCACATTTTTCATGCTGAACTTTTTGCTTCTCGCGGTTTGAGAAACTAAAACGATTATTTCTGCAGTTCAGCCAAAATACACGTTTTTATTTCTCTGCAGACTCGCTGGACAAATGATGCATTTTAATAAAAGTTACAACTAATTTACAGAAAGTCTGGAATTTGTCTAAAAATGTATCATCAATACCAAGAGCGGCGAAGCCCTATGACCTTTGACCTATAGGTCAAAATATTTTAGTAAACTGCAAACAATATAATTAGTGAACATTTTACAGTAATTATGAATTTAACCTAAAATTCATACATTCGGCCATCTTGGTTTTTAATTTCTATAAAATGTTTTATGTAACTGCAAAGCTGAGCCCGGCCTGCAGATGGCAGCGTTTCTCACCTGAACTCCATAATCCATCGTTTCACTCACAAACTAAATATTTAGTTTGAAATTAAACATTTAGTGAGCAAAATAAAATTGTTTTTTCACCTAAATTTTAATTAGTTCAAACTAAATAAAATATTTAGTTTTCAAACTAAATTCTGAGCTGGTTAGTTGGAACCTCACTGCTCTGGTTCTGTTTTGGTTCTGCTCTGGTTCTGCTCTGGTCCTGGTTCTGGTTCTGTTCTGGTTCTGTTCTGGTTCTGCTCTGGTCCTTGTTCTGGTCTTGGTCCTGGTTCTGCTCTGGTTCTGTTCTGGTTCTGTTCTACTTCTGCTCTGGTTCTGCTCTGGTCCTGGTTCTGCTCTGGTCTTGGTTCTGTTCTGGTTCTGGTTCTGCTCTGGTTCTGTTCTATTCTGGTCCTGGTTCTGCTCTGGTTCTGCTCTGGTTCTGTTCTGGTTCTGCTCTGGTCTGGTTCTGGTTCTGCTCTGGTTCTGTTCTGGTCTGGTTCTGGTTCTGCTCTGGTTCTGTTCTGGTTCTGCTCTGGTCCTGGTTCTGCTCTGGTCCTGGTTCTGCTCTGGTTCTGTTCTGCTCTGGTTCTGGTTCTGCTCTGGTTCTGTTCTGCTCTGGTTCTGGTTCTGCTCTGGTTCTGCCCTGGTCCTGGTTCTGCCCTGGTCCTGGTTCTGTTCTACTCTGGTTCTGGTTCTGGTCCTGGTCCTGGTTCTGCTCTGGTCCTGGTTCTGCTCTGGTTCTGGTTCTGCTCTGGTTCTGTTCTGCTCTGGTTCTGGTTCTGCTCTGGTTCTGCCCTGGTCCTGGTTCTGCCCTGGTCCTGGTTCTGTTCTGTTCTGGTTCTGGTTCTGGTTCTGGTCCTGGTCCTGGTTCTGCTCTGGTCCTGGTTCTGCTCTGGTTCTGGTTCTGCTCTGGTTCTGCCCTGGTCCTGGTTCTGTTCTGTTCTGGTTCTGGTTCTGGTCCTGGTCCTGGTTCTGCTCTGGTTCTGGTTCTGCTCTGGTTCTGTTCTGCTCTGGTTCTGGTTCTGCTCTGGTTCTACCCTGGTCCTGGTTCTGTTCTGGTCCTGGTTCTGTTCTACTCTGGTTCTGGTTCTTACTTGATGAGCCACTGGAACTGGACCGGGTCGTCGGCGCAGCCGTAGTCGGTGGTCCAGGCGTGTCCGATGGTGAACTTATGGAACTTCAACATGTCCAGAACTCCGACCTCGGCGACGACGCATCCGAACAGCTCCGGCCGCTGGATCATGCAGGCGGCTGCAACAGAACCGGCAGAACTTCACCGAGTCCGACCCGCAGCAGGAAAACAGCAGCAGAAATAATTTGACCATAAACGTTTCACCAACCAGAAACAAGATGGCCGCCAGCTGGGCCTCAGAACTTGGCGGCAAAAACGAAAATGAGTTGCTAACACTGATTCATCACTGGTCCTAAAACACCCGGCTGAAGGTTCTGCAGAACCCGGTCCCGACCCGGACTCACCGACCAGCAGGCCGCCGTTGGATGCTCCGTTGATGGCGATCTGGCTGGCCGAGGTGAAGCGCTCCCGGATC